TAGTCTATTTAAGTGTTAGTAAATACATTTCACACCTGTTTAAAAAACAAAAAAAAACTTGGCTTGTAAATCCTCTAAACGCAGTAGATCTTTTTTGCCGTTACATCAGTTCCAGTGAACAATTACTGTAAATCCTCTAAACGCAGTAGATCTTTTTTGCCGTTACATCAGTTCCAGTGAACAATTACTGTAAATCCTCTAAACGCAGTAGATCTTTTTTGCCGTTACATCAGTTCCAGTGAACAATTACAGATAAACATTTACAAAATATAATTATATATCTATTAGGGTTTCTATATACTGTCCTAAGTAAAAACTTTACATGTTAATTAAATTGTATGATGAAATTTCAAAATTATATGCATACATATATGGCTTTGTTTCGCTTTTTATTTTGTTTTTTATCAACACACCGCTACTTATATAACGCATGCGCACGGGATTTTACACATTTATTATTATCTCTCTTTACTCATTTATGGGTCGAGATGAAGTTTCCGAACGCACGTGATAAAAGATAGTTATGCCTTCAAGAAGTAAGGTCTATCTTTTGAAGCATTTGCATTATTGTATTTTCTCCTTAAATGTGACTTATCTATTGTTTTAATCCCATATGTTTTCTAAATACATAGGGTCATTTTATATTATGGAAACGAAACAGATAGAGAGAGCCAAAGAATATAACATATCTAACAATGGAGTCTTCAGTGCTGTCCAAGGAGCAGGAAAACTAGCTCAGATTAGTATTTAGGACAGCAATGGACTCCGAAATCACAAATGTGGTTACGAAAAAGAACACATTGATTAAAAAAAGAGAGAGAGAGCCTTTACGATGAAGCTGAGCATATATACTGGTCCCAACAACAACAAAAGATTGGAAGTTGATGAAGTCTCATAATTAAAAAGTTCACTAGCTCTTGGCGAAATATATTGCAGAGAAGACCAACTGTAGAAAGCTGTATGAAAAACACCTAGCATGTGAGATATGAAATTTTATACTGACCCTTCATGCTGGATGATTGTATTTAAATGACTGCAGGAAAAAAAGAAGAGAGAAATTAACCTACTATCATCCACTGAAGAACAGGACCATCACACGTGATACAAATATTGCAAGGAGTGTTTTACATCAGGTTTCAAGGTAAGCGCTGGATTTAATCACAGAAGAAAGCTACAACTAAGGAAAATCATATATAAAATTAAGAGCAATTCCCATTGCTATCAGATTGATATGGCCTGTCAAAGAAATCTCAGCTCTGTACAGAAATGACATGGACAAAGTTGCAATCTATTAAGGCAAATCTATTTCCGGGAAAAGGTGGTGTTATTACAGAATCACAACAATCTCATTGAACCATACCTCTACAAAGTTCTCCGATATAGCTCCAGTGGACATTTTTACCTTTTTAAGCATGCTTATGGAAGTCTTAGAATACTAAAGGGTTAGTTGGTTGATAGATTAGGACTGTCAGATATAACAGGCTGTTTAGTGTAGGTATTATTAATTAATTTATTTTGTGAGTGACTATTTCATCATTGTTTTCCTTTTTTTCATACCAAGAGTTAAAAGCAATTTTTTTTAAAGGCGATAGTCATGATAAGTTTGATTACGTAACTCGGTAAGAATCGTACATTGTTGTTATAATTCATTGATGTGGAGGCTATCGAACGTTGCGTGCAATCCATTTATGTCGAGGATAAAAAAGATTTCTAGAAGGCCTAAGTGATAAACGTATAAATAGCGGCAAACAAATGAACAAAAAAAAAGAGCAGAAGCGAGTAATTTGAAGTCACGGGAAGGAGAAATTCGGTCAGAGAAAAGTTAAACGCAAAGTTAATAATCGTGGGTGTAAAAGGCCTAACGGTTGATATGATAAAGTGAGATTAACAATTTCGAAGAGATAAGGAGAATATGTTGACTCTTCTAAAGGTGTTCAAAGGTAATTGAACCAGCCTAAGTGGACTTTGACAAAAGGCAGATGATTTTTAGAAATATGGAAAAGGAGCAAACGATTTCTGAAGTACAGGATACAACCGCGGTAACTCAACAACGTAAGTGAACTGTACAGGGATAGTCTAGCAATAGAAATAGAGAAAAATAGTTCGGCTTGTCAACTGAATTCTACAGCAATTGAATAGGCCTAAGTGGACTTTTGACAAGAAGAAGATAACTATATAGTGTTTATGATATAACTATGATCTCCACAGTGTAAGAAATTTCCGTACATACATACTATTTTGAAAACAAGTGGAATACGTGCTGTTCTTTTATTATTATTTTTTTAATTTATCACATACAAATCACAGAAGAATCCTTGGCCCAACACGCCTATATATTTTAATTTACTATATATAATATAAAAAAGTAAGTTCCTGACAAGAACACTAAAATATTAGTTGGTTGATAGATTAGAACACTGAAATATTAGTTGGTTGGTAGATTAGAACACTAAAATATTAGTTATTTGGTAGATTAGAACACTAAAACATTAATTAGTTGGTTGACAGATTAGAACACTGAAATATTAGTTGGTTGGTAGATTAGAATACTAAAATATTAGCGATAGATTATAACACTAGAACATCAGTTGATTGATAGATTAGAACACTAGAACATTAGTCGGTTGATAGAAAAGTGTACTAGATCAATGGTGCATCATTGATATGGCTATTCTCCAAAATAACCTGATATCACGGAAACATTGCTGCAGGGCTACTGCTAAAAAGCAGATAGAGAAGAACATGTGATATTTAATATTAATATGTTAAACTTGATAATAATTTACAAAAAATTTAAAGGATCTTCCGTAGCATACAATACTCTCTTGCATATATTTATATTCTTACTGGCTTCGGACTAAAACATTTAAGTTGTAAAGTTATTCTTGTAACAAAGATGTTCCTGCTTGTTGTTTGCTTGGTGATTCTGAAATTCTTGATATGAGTCAATAATGAAACACTGCATTCTGTTCTTAAAGGATTTGAAATTATTCACAATGAACTCCAACTGTGTCTGAATCACATGACTAGACCTACTCTTTTATTTGTCTCTGTCAAATAACACTAACCAATCCTGCAACAATTTACAAAGATTAGCTATCGCTTTCTCAGACTTGTTTTTTAAGAATAAAAATCTCAGCACTTTCCGTTATTATTACTCTTACGGTGGTAAAATCAGAAACCAAAATATTTAAACTTTATGACACAAGTCAGTATCTGTCTTTTAGCCAGGTCTTTGTCTTTGTATACTGTGTCAATGTTCTTTTACTAATGTGTTTTCGTTTAACATGTACTTGTAAAAAACAAAACTGATGTGTTAATTATCTCTGAATCAATGTGTTTGTCCTCATTGTTTTCACATATATTATTTTTTAAAAAGTACACTGACCTATTCAGTTCCTTGAACTCTAGCTTATTACATACTGTTGTTAGTAACCCTTGGGGTATGAGATGTCACATAAGCAATCAGATTGCAATATATTACTATTTTTTTACACAGGGTCTTTACTATATTAGACATATAGGATAAGTGGGCGACTATGTAATTTTATAGCTATTTTAAATTGTTCTCGTGACTAATTTAATATTTGATCTTCCTAACGAGCAATAAGGTACTCTACCATAAGGGAGAGATGTGTTTCTTTACTGCTTCTTCAATATCTCAAGAAAACATAAATAGAAAATACTAGATTTTTTTGTGAAACTGACTGCTTTTTTTAGTCCTAAAAGTAATATAGTATAGTTGTGATACCTTGCTTCTGCGAAGAACTGCACATGAACATTTATATTAATGTTTTGATTTCCCTGCTTAATAAAACCTTCCTTACACCTATCGTATACGATACAAATATAAGATGAAATTATCTTGCTACTCAGGAGAGTTTATCTGCTTCGTAACAAACAATTTCATATTGTTGTATATCATACACCCAGTTCTCATGTTTTATTGTTTATTTGTTTTGGAAGTTCGCGCAAAGCTACTCGAGGGCTTTCTGTGCTACCCGTCCCTAATTTAGCAGTGGCAGACTGGAAGAGAGGCAGCTAGTCAACCTCACCCACCTCCAACTCTTGGGTTACTCTTTTACTAACGAATAGTGAGATTGATCATTACATTATAACGCTCCCACGGCTGAAAGGACGAACATATTTAGTGACGGGAAATCGAATCCGCGACCCACAGATTACCATTCGAGCGACCTAATAACCAGACCATCCCACGTTTTATATTTTGTTAAGGAAGATGAGCCGGTGTCTATAAGTTTCACCAAGTTATTCTAAATTTTGTTGAAAAGAAATGAGGTCTCGTCTTTTTTCTATATAAGCCTCAGCTTCCTACTAGAGAGATGTTTAAGTATGAAAAGTTGTGGTTTAAAACGCTGGTATTTTCACCATTTAAATTTTTACGTTCCAATACCAGGGTTCATCAGACTGGCTGGGATATAACAGACATAGTAGTGGTTTAGGCGCTAATTATATCATCAACTTTCATAAACAACGACTGTTATGGTGTGACTAGATTACGTAAGGGAATTATAATTATTATCAATTTTATTTAAGTCATTTAAAAATCAGATCTTTTAAGGCAAGGATTAACAACACAATATTACTTACTGTTTTATTTATAACACCAATTATTTATTTTTAGTATTATTATCTTATTTATCACTCAGAAGAAATTGCGAACCATCTAATTTTTCTTCTTGTTCCCGGAGCAGGTCATGCGATCACAGCTTCAACGGGAGAAAGCTACGTCAATAATTTTAATAACTTATGAGTAAAAGTAAAGGAGAATGTGTTAAAATATGTCAGCCACACTAAATCTAACATATCCAAGTGACGACGAGGCCTTTTGACCAGTACCAGTGCTCATCAGGCTGGCTGCGATACGATAATTTACAGCTAGTGAATTGCCTTTAAATGCTACATTCTACATTGTAAAACATATATTTAACTCTGTTTTTCTGACGTTTTTCTATTTAATCCTATGACTGTCATATCAGATGATATTCTCAGATGGGGTAAAATGGAGATAAGGTTCCAGACTGTATGGAGAGAAGAGCGTTTACCGGTTAGTAAGATTGGGAGTAGAAGTTTGAGACTCTAGGGCTCTGAGGGACGACCAGTAAGTGGTCTATGTGGGTAAGTAGTCTCGAGGTCTTGCTGAAGATGGTGATATTCTGTAATAATTTAGTAGATATTCCGTTTCTACAATGTATACATAAACATATCATGTGATTAGAATGTATCTGAATGCTGCCAACTGAATCAGTGAGTCCAAAATTTGAAAAGTTATCCAGTGAAATAGTATTGAATAAGGTTAATAAATATATTCCCATAGTCACCCATCACTCAACACAGATATTTTAGTATGATGAAGTATAAGTACTCTAAACATTAAAGTATCATGTAAGCCTAGCAGCTTCAACGATATCTCATAAACTGCTAAGGATAAAAATTGACCTAAATCTAGTTTTTCGTATGGTAGTTTCGGAATAAGAATTATTCATAGGAGATAAAGTTTATTAACTTTTTAATAATTGCAGGAGCCCCCCTACCATAGTGGCTCAAACCGGGTATTGATACTCGTGGCGATCACAGCTTTATGTTTAACAAACAAACAAAGTGATTGCAGGAATATACCACGAGCTTACAATAGGTGTTTACTGTATAAAAACCTTCGCCACAGCTGTCAATGTATGAATATTTTTCAAGTCAATGAGATATTATAATTCGAGTAAAAAAATCGTATTAATTGGAACTGCATCATTCCAAAATATAACCTAAACCTTGTGTAAGCATAATGGAATACCAGGAAATATATGAATAAAATAACACTTTTACTGTATTTTCTACATAATATAGATTAAGATGATGACAACCAGAAAGCCTCATCCAAAGATTCTATATACAGTCAGTATTCTTTATTATTATAAGCACGACAACAGGAACCTGACATGATCATTGCAAACTTTTGAGGTCGTTTCTACATTGAGTCGTAGCCATTAAGTTTCTTCCTTTCAACGTCCGTTTTTCAATATGGTTCCTTAGACAGCTATGTCCGTCATTTGAGATGGAAATTGTTAATTTATTTCGTATTTAATGGTCGAACACATTATCATGTTAACAAGAAATGCGACTGCTTGTTTGAAAATGCCTTCAAGCTCGTTCGATATAGGTCCTGACGTTATAGCTCCCGGAACGGTGAGGCCTCTGACACGGATGTTTGAACCATCAAAAGCATAGCCACTTTGCATGGAGCAGTAATTGGACACCCAGCGTTTTCTCGTGCATGATGGCGATGACATCAAATTCCTGCAGTAAGCGAGCTGGTGACGTCATTTGCCCGGGACTCACATGTTAAGTTTTATACGAAGTGGAAACCTGTTTTAGGTTAATCGGCACCCACTTGACGTAGTCCAGGTTTGTAGCGTGTCTGAAAACAGTGTTTGTGTATGTTGTTAGTGAAGCAGTTCGTGTCACAGCATCTCAAATGTACTCTTTTTGTGCACTTCAAAAAATAAAAAAGACACCATATATAGCCTTACTCGTATTCACTCAACCATTGTCTACATTTCTTGCAAAACGAAACATATTTTTTATTTATCTACTCGAATCTTTAATCAAGATTACGTCAATTAATCTCTGCACACTTCGATATTTTTATATTAAATGGTGCAATGTTTGTTTAGACTCTTTACATTTTACACAATCAGATATTTGACGTTAACTGGAATTTCGAAACCATCATAACACTAGATATTAGAAGTTTTAATTAAAAGGTGTATTTTTAGACTTGGTGGAAACTGGTAATCCAGATGAAAGATGGAAAGAGCAAATTTGTTTCTAGTGTAAAATGTTACAAGTAAAAACCTCACTCGTAATCCAACTCGTAATAGAAACAGTAATTTTCTTTTAGTGTAAAATATACTTGGCCTTCACAGTTGGTATTAATTCGTGTGAACTTGCAAATCTCATCCGTCGCATAGCAGAGGTGTAGGAAGCAAATTAAAAGGGATGAGGGGGGGGGGGGTATTTGACCGAGCAAAGCGAGGGAATGTGCGCCACAGGCGCAACCATTACGCCCGAGGTCCAGGGTTTGCTTTAGAGCTATAGAAACTCTTGGGTTTTAGATTAAATTTTATGCATTCTCCCGCTTTTCTTGACAGTACTAGTCCTAATTTTGATGCATTTTTTTACTGGGACCGATTTAAAAACGGGGGTTCAGGCCCCCACCCTCGATTCCTACACAACTGCATTGTAATATATATATATATTAGAAAGATAGCTATAATGCTGTATGTATTAATGTTTAAAATATTGCTAATATCAGATTTAGAAAGCATAAACACAAACCATGTTATTACCATATTCCCGGATAAAGCATTTCCATATCTCGAGTTACTGTGACTGCATGAAATAAATGTGTTTTTGTTATTGTTTTGGGTATGTGTGCGCTAACGTTTCACAAAACAATTTCTAAAGAAAAGCCATATAAAAACATCTCACGGTTATTCTTGTGGACGATGGTTCAGGAAAAAGTTGGAATTGTTGTTGGTTAAACATATGCTTTATTTATTACGCTGTAAGATGCCCCGACTTCACTTTCCTAGACTTCTTGAAATTGTTTTTTTATTTTGTGTCATTCTGCCATGGACTACAGATTTTGCAATTAATGCAGTTTCTCGAGTGCACACATATATAGTAAGAGCTCAAAGTCATCTATGTCTGATGGAAAATATCCCTTATTTAAGGGAATACTATACACCTTAAAAGGTAAAATAGGTTCAAGGAACTCATCTGTTTTTAATAGGAAATCGTATGAAAAACTAGATGTTGCATTATTGCTTTAGGGGGTGTTTTTAACCTACATGTCAGTACTATCCCCAGAATTGGGTTGAGCGTGGCCAAGTCATTAGCGAACTTAGATGGTTAATCCTATAGTTTATGGTTCGCGTCCCATTGCCGCAAAATGGTGCTCTTTTTTAAAAGGTCATAGTGTGCTATAAGACTGACGGCTAAGTTGCACTATTTAGCCAGATAATAATAGCCGAAGAATTGTTGGTAGGTACTGGTCACTAGCTGGCCTACCTCTCTCCATCTGGCCTTTATGTAGCATTGCGCGAAATTCCGAAACAAACAAACGAAAATAATTAAATGTTTGTTTAAGATAAAAATAATTTTAGAAGAAACGCTGGTGATTATGTCTTTGCTTGTCGTGATTTTGCTCATGCTAAAATACGTTAAAACGATCATCTTAACGAAATTTGACGTGTACAGTCATATAGAATCACTTGTTTCCAACATAAAAAAAAAACCGAATAGTTTCAGCTGCTAAGACTTTATTTGTTATATCCGCCACCGAAGGTGGGCGGAGGTTATGTGTTTCACCCCTGCGTGTGTTTATCATCAAGATTTCTCGAAAACGGCAGAATGGATTTTGACGAAAGTTGGTATACATTTGGCCTATAATCCAACTTAGAAGTGATTAGTTTTTGGGGTCAAGGTCACAGCAAGGTAACAAAAATTTTAAAAATCCCCATCTGTTAATATGGGGACCGATAGTTCACACTATTTTTGCTCTATAACACAGTCAAGAATGATCGGATTTTGATGAAACTCCGTGGACGTATGTAGAATATCATTCCTCATTGTCCTGCCAAAAATTATCCGTGTCCGTTGATAGCAAAGGACATATGGACGCATTTTCGTATTTTCTGAGAGCCGAATATGATCAACGCTGCGTGCCGGAGGTATGCGCTCTAATGGGTGTTCCTCTTGTTGTTATTTTGTTGTTAAGCGCAAAACTAAACAATGGACTATCTGTGCTGTGCTTACTACGGGTATCGAAACTAGGCTTTTAGTGTTATAAGTTCCGGGGAGGGGCTACTAAAACAAAGTCTAATAATTTCTAATCATGTTAGAGAAACAACTACGGTGAATAAAAGCAAACATTTTCAAAACATTTTAGTAGTCCGAAAGGGATCTAACTTTGTTTATATTGAAGCGCAAAGCAAGAGAAAACAGAGATCCTAATGGTATTATATTAACCTCACTGATCACCTCACGACGGTACGTTATGAAATACCGTTTTCCCATAATAAACTATTCTTACAAGATTTTCGCGCCTGTTTGTGGTCTTTACTATTAAAAGCAGACCTGAATAAGCTATTCCATTCAACCTTGATTAAGTAAAAGGCGGCGGGGCGTAATGGTGAGTGCTTCTGAATTGGAATCGAGGTTTGCCCCTTCATTTGGTTGTGTCCTTGGACAAGACACTTCACCCATTTACCCAGCTGTCTAATGGGCACCAACGGATAGCTGGGGTTCACCTGCGATGGTCTAACATCCCATCTAGGGAGAATGTGTCACCATTCTCATACGTTTGTGCCACAGGAAACCAGAGTTAAGCACCAGCCTTATGTGTCTTACTGGCGCTAAAAGTAAAACTTCCTATTTACGTCTTTAAAAATTCTATCTTAAACTATTGCTTGAAATTTCTATTGCATTATAATAGTGATGGATGATAAGTTTCCGCTATTTCTTTTTATCTTTTCAATATAAAATGGTTTGCCTATCAGAGAATGTTCTACGACAGGATATGATAACACTCAAGGCGCTCAAGAACTAAATATCTACGTCATCTTCCATGGGTTATTCATTACCCAGCATGGATGCACATGAAACTTGACTCCTGTCATAAATGTTCTAAAGGTTCGTTTATTGCACTGAGAACGCTGCTTGCTTAACACCATGTCATCCGGTGACTCAGCGATAAGTCTGAGAGCGAATAACGTAATTTCAATATGACACTGATACGTGATACGTAAACATTCATTTGTTACAGCACTTCAGTAGCCTTGTTACATTTTATATACTGTAACGCCGACATTATTTTTCTCCACATTTTGAATAAAAGCAGCAGTGGTGACACCTGGCTGACACAATCGTGGAGGTTTGCCTATTAATATATCACGTTGCGGGTTTATCTATTGCTGAATGTGACTGTACTACATTTTATGTCCGCATTGATTATGTGCACATATTATTAACAGAGCCGAATGACAAATAGTCAGTTGCGTGTCTATGGAAGAGAGTGAGGCTTAACCTCACTAACTCACAATTCTAGCCTTCCAAAAAAAAAATGCCTTAAAAGTGTATTAGTCTCCTCATTTTCAATAAAGAAAGTATTTTTAAAGACTATTTAATTATGTTCTTGTATTCTTTAATATTAAACAATTTTCTCAAATAGAACAAGATCTGTTCATTTCAAATTACAGTAAGTAGTATTCGAAATGCGTTACTAGTGGTTAATTCCCTCTGTCGGAGGGAATATATGGCTCTCACGCCACCTAACCCGTGCAAATAAATAGTGCTAGCTACGTCCCTGCATACAGTGTACAAGTTCCTGAAAGAAACAGGCATGATGCATTAAATGCTTAATATTTCTATAATTCTTATTCGTTTTAAAAGTCTGCAACGTTGACTATACGGTTGTATTATATCTGGAAACGAAAAATATTAAAGGTTTGGATGAGCCTTCATATATATATAGAAACATATACTGCATTAAAATGTGAATATAAGATGCAAAAATATGTTGAGTGCATAGAAATCAAACACGCTTTATTCGTTATTTGCTAAAACTACATAGAAGACAGGCGTAAGGTCTTGCATAAGCGATAAGTTTCGATGGTGATCGTTTTCTTTATATATGTTGTACAAAGAACGTGGCATATATGTATTAATAACTTCTGATCAAAGCAAACTACTTTTGTAGAGCTAAAAACTAGCCCCGTAATTAATGTAATTAATCAAATATAACGATAAAATTAATAGTATGTAATGTAGTAGAAACAAAAGAAAGCTTGGAATGATTAGAACGCATTGATTTATCAATTAGGTACTTTCGCTCTTATTGATATTTTCGGCTGTAATCCCAATAGGTTAGTTCTACAACCATGCAAGATATATACCAAACCTAATGGTGTAGCAACTAGTAAACGTGGTGTATCCATTACCCTTATTGTCACTGTCCAACCTGGACTCTAACCATCATCAACGGTAGATAGTATCACATTTCTGTTTTTAACCAATACAGCCCAAACTTACTGAACAAGCGAAGATACAAAAATTTAGAACATTAAGGGAAAGCTGTCACAAGTGAAAACAAATATTACAGTGTTGTTTTACCAGTTAATGTGCACGAGGCTACAGTTTTACAGTGTTGTTTTACTAGTTAATGTGCACGAGGCTACAGTTTTACAGTGTTGTTTTACTAGTTAATGTGCACGAGGCTACAGTTTTACAGTGTTGTTTTACTAGTTAATGTGCACGAGGCTACAGTTTTACAGTGTTGTTTTACTAGTTAATGTGCTACGAGGCTACAGTTTTACAGTGTTGTTTACAGTTAATGTGCTACGAGGCTACAGTTTTACAGTTGTTGTTTAACAGTTAATGTGCTACGTAGGCTACTAGTTTACAGTTATTGTTTACAGTTAATGTGCTACGAGGCTACAG